GCAAGGTTACTTATCTCTTTGTTATATACTCCCTTCGTCCCTTAAAACTTTGTCATGTTTGATTGATATGAGAATTTATAAAGTAAAAACTGTGTGATTGAGATTTGTACAAAGATGAGAGAATTAATTGGATCTAGAGATTATTTACTCAAAAGTGAAAGTGGTAAAGATAGTGAGACAACTAAAAAAGTAAAGTTTGAAAAAATTCAAGGGACGACGCAAAGAGTATAATATTTTGCATTTCTCTCATTTGAGTTTATCTCAGTTATTCCACTACTCGGTAATACGAGTACTAATAGTCTGCCCAATGTAATCACTTTTCAAGCTAAATAAACTAGCGGTGCAGTGGAATGCAAATGCCTTTTTAAAGAAAAAGGTAGAGATCGAATTTTGTTGCAATTTGAAATAAAGTTGAGGGCCCCGGAAGACTGTGTAAGCGGAAATGAAGGAACAGGAGTTAAGGCCTTAGCTACATCCAGCTTTAAGTTTACAGCTGTGTGCAAATGAAATACGGAGTATAAGGTGCTGTTGTACGGTGTACCTCACATATCCTCAAGAAAGAGTATCATAAACACATGCATGGCCTCATGATTGATTTATTCGTCTCAAGAGCGAATTTTGTTGCGATTTGATACTCCGCCGCGCGATTTTGACATCACAAATCATGAAGCAGCCGAGGAACTTTCATTTCATCAACGAATAACCTTAACGTATAAGAAATCAAATGCCTGCGTACCCTTCATTACATTTTACAGTTGTGTCTACTTTTGGAATAAGTCCTTCATTTCAATAAGTACTTTAATGACTACTTGCTTTCAATAACATTCATCCAATTTAATTAGAGTCTCTTTAGCGACCATGTTTTTTGGCTTATCTGAAGTATCAGTCGATTATTTTACCAAACAAGTAATTTTTGCTTTCGCACGTTTAATTTTGTAATATTAAAGAAAAACTCGAGTTATTTTTCTTGTTGTATTGAATATTTTTACTTATAAGTTTTTCTATACAGTATTATAGAACAGATCATAGTGTGTTTTACTTGAGTCATTTTTGCTATTTTCGCCTATAATTTTTTCTTTATTTTATAATAAATGATCGTATGTTTTACATATAACTTTTACATAAATCAATATATTCAGTCAATTTAGCCACTTGAGTCAGAACTTTGACAAAAAATGCTCTTAATCATCTTCAACAATCATATACTCCTTATATCACCTAGGTCCTCCCCCAGTCCTAGCTCCTCAACAAAGAGGCACATGTACAATAAAAAAGTGTCATGAAGAGATTAAAGACAAAATTCGGATGATCACGACTTACTTCAGTCGTCACTGGTCAGCAAAAGGGGGATAGCAGCCAATGTCGGAAGAGCATCTAAAGTATTCTTTGTCTAATAATTGATCTCTTAAACAGTTAAACCATCTGAAATCCAGTTCAACGAATAAACTTAGGGGAAATTACCATAAATAAAACTATCAATTCTTGGTAATACTAAAACTACAACCCTTTATTATCCTTCTTTTATAAAACGAAAAAGGGGAAATATCTTTTTTACCCTTTAAGCTTCCAAACATTTCCCCTTTTTTGACAAATTCCAAACATTTCGATATATACCACCTCTGTCCCGAAAAGGTTTGCCAAATTGACAAATTCCAAACATTTCCAATTTTTCCCTTCAAGGTTCCCTTTTTTTGACAAATTTCAAACATTTCTTAACTATCATTAATCAAGAAAAGTCAATATTGCTCTTTAAGATGAAAAAAATAGTATGTAGTCTGGGCCGGCCCAAGGCAAGTGCCAGTAGTCCACTTGATGGATAGTCTACCCGGGGATATATATCCGAAGGGTTATTACGGGGAATAACTTAGAGAGAAGTCAGAGCAAGTAAGTAAAAGTAGAGAGAGAGAGTATTCAATATGAATGCCGTTTTCAGCGTCGTTACAAATGGGGAAATGGGGTGCTATTTATAGTAGCAATAAATGTCGGGCAGGGACACGTGTCAAGCGCTCATTGGCCGAGGGGGCATCTCAACTGGTTGGTGCAGGCAGCCGCATGTGGCCGCATTTAATGCGGCTGTGGGATGGGACGTCTGTGTGGGGTACGGTGATCTGTACGCATGTGAGGCGGATATCTTGTCGAGTGAGATGCCTTCGGCTATAGAGCAGTAGCTGAGGGCTCCTCCAGTCGATGACACCCTGGTGCCGAGGGCTCACAGTGCCGAGGGCTACTGTTTTTTGCCGTTTTCTCCCAGTTTCTTATTTTGCTTGAGAAACCCGTTCTGTGAGAGTTTAGAGCCTTCGGCCAGGGGGCCGAAGGCACCCCTGGCGCGTGGTGCGGGCTGCTTGGTACTCTGGGCGCTGTGATTTGGGCCTGTTGGGCCTTTGCTGGAGTAGTAGGAGTCTGTGGGTCGGGGGTTCCCGGGCCATATACTCCATCAGGAGTCCCTCACTCCTTTTGCTGAAAGGCACTTGAGGGAAAAGAAGTAATTTGTGCTTGCCTTTTGATGTTGTCCCGTCGTGATCTCTGAAGTTGGTGAGGAGTTGTTGCTTTTATGTCCCTGCCGAAGGCAGTCCCTCAGTTATCCACATGTCGGGACTTGAGGGCTTGCCTTGTCGTTTGTTGGATTTTTACTAATTTTGTAATTTAATGATTTTCCCGAGGGGGTCCTCCAGTCCCCCACTCCTTGAGGCACTTGTAAAGTGGTGAAAAAGGAGTAGAGTAGTTGTGTTGCTATTGTGGGCCGAAGGCTGACGCTTTTCGTTTCATTTTGGGGGGATGCCTCGTTAAAAACCTCATTAGGAAAAACCTTGTGGGAAAAAATCCTAATGAGGGAAAAAGAGTGCACCGAATTCCCCCAATGATGAATCGAAAATGTCGAACCTTGGTAAAAAATGGAGGATAACGGGAATGCCAAAGGCTCTCTCGTCTGAGGGCTCCTGGGTTGATTAGCCGGAGGCTTGCTGTTGATGTCCTGGGTGCGCCGAAGGGGAGCCCCTCAATCAGGGGATCGAGGGCCCGCTGGATGAGGGCAGCAGTGGAGTTGTTACCGGGGGGTCCACTGTTTGTTGATTAATTGGTGATGAAGATACCCGAGAGCTCCCATTACCTGTGTGCCATGGGTCACCCGTCAATGAGGCAACTCCCATTACCCGAGAGTTGTTACCGGGGGGTCCACTGATATGAAGCCCTGGGTTTCTGAAGGAGTGACCCCGAAGGCGTCTGTTATGTGCTGTGTGGGGTGAAGTAGAAAACCCGGGAGCTTCTGGGTAAGTGTACCCGGAGGCTATCCTCGATGAAGTGGAGTGAAGTAGAAAACCCGGGGGCTTCCAGAATATAGCCGTTGGGAATATAGTCGTTGGAATATGTAGCGTCAGATTTATAGTCGTTGGAATATGTAACGTCAGGTTCATAGCCGTTGGAGGGGGGGCACACGTGGCGTGTGATGGCTGGCTGTCCGTGGGCGGCGTCACTGGTTGGGCGAAGACGCGGTGTGTAATGATGGCGCCCATCCGGAGGCCCGGTTTCCGGGCCCAAGCCCGGATTCCAGCGCCTATAAATACCCCAAGGCCAGGGCCATTCCTTCTTGTGCGATCATTTGTTTTAGCGAAGCTCTGCCGAAAATTCTAGAGAGAGAAACTCCAGCCTTCGGTCAAAACTCTGCTTTCAAGTTCAGTGCCCGTTTTCCTCTCCAAACTTTTAGTAAGTTCCGCCCTCTGGCCTTAGATTAGGGTTAGTCCTGTAGAAAGCCTTCGAAACCTTAGACACACTTCGTGATAAAAATGTCGTCCGAGAGCGATTCCCAGGACATCTCGAGGACGCCCTCGATGGAGGACGAAGGCATCTCCGACGTGGAGTCCAGCAGTGGTCAGCCCTCGGATGGTGGTGATGCAGCCCTCGCCACTGAGGTGCAGAAGGATCTGATGGCCGAGGCCGAGGCGGAGGAATTCGAGCGAACTGCCGAGGATGAAGAGTTGGCCCTCGCCGTCCAAGTTGCTGAAGAGGAGGAGGAAAAGGAGAGGGCGAAGGTCACTGTGGCAGTCCTTCCCCCTCGGGGTGCTGGTGAGGCCAGTACTTCCCAGCCGCTGAATGCAGTTCCCATCCGGGTGGCCCCCGGGAAGAAGAAGGCCAAGGCAGCTGCACCCAAGAAGAAGGTTATTGCTGCTGATCAGGGGAAACCCGTAGATATGCCGGAGGGGTATTCCTGGCTCAACACGGCTGCCTTGGAGATAAAATCGAAGGCGGACAGGGCGGACCTCTACGTGACGCAGCTACATGTAGGGCCCTCGGCCGTGGTGGTCGAGCCGGGAGTTGACGACGTGCTCTCTCGGGCGCCTGAGGGGTGCATTGCAGTACACGTACTGTCGGTCTCCATGGGCCTTCGGTTCCCTCTGCACCCCTTCCTCCGGGAGTACCTGAGGTTTGTTGGCTTGGTACCCTGCCAGCTGACACCTAATAGCCACTCCTACGTGGCGGGTTTTTTAAACCTCTGTAGGGACCGAGGGGTGACCCCCAGCCTGGACTTGTTCTTCCAGAGCTTCAACCTCTGTCGAGGGGGTCACGCGAATGCCGAGGGCTTCGCCAACCTGCAGCAGGTGGCCAGGTGGAAGCTGTTTACGGAGGCGCCTTCGTCCAATAAGGGCTGGAAGGAGCGCTGGTGCTATGTCAGGGTTGCTGAGAACCCATTTCCGGCGGAACTTCGGGATCGCTTCCGTCGGCATCCGAAGGTTGGAAGCGCCGCCCTCGAAAAAGATGGCCTGGTGATAGCCAAAATCCCGGAGGGTCGCACAAAGCAGGTCTCCATCAAAGATGATATTGCCGACAAGGGATTCTACGCCCTCGGCTTTCGGAGATACCGCTTTATTGGGGAAGCGGACGAGAAGTACCCCATTTTTGCTGAGGCCTTCGGGGGAACCGGAGGTAGTCTACGAGGTCCCTCGGTTTTCATATCTTAGCACATAGCTTATTTTGTTCGTGTTTTTTTTTTCTTTTTATTCTTTGTGCCTTCGGTCAGTAACCCCTCGATTTTGACCCCATACCTTTTTTTTGCAGGTGTCCCAGTGAAAATGATGAACGTCAGAGGCCTTGCAGACCTGAAGAAGAAAAAACCCTCCAAGGGCCCGAGGGGGACGGACGCCGGTGTCCCAAAACCCGCCGGTGACTTCTTCAAAAAACCGGAGGGGCCGTCGGTGGGCCCAAGTGCTGATGCTGCCGCTGCCGCCAAAAGGAAGGGCTCGGGCAGAGATCCCGAGGGCAAGAAGCCCAAGACCGGGGATGCCGGGAAGAAAGTCCCCCCGGTGATCATTGTTGATGAAGGCCCTGCCTCCGGGGCGAATGAGGACATGCAGGTGGCGAAAGTGCCGCCGGGAGTTCAGCCTTCCGAGGTCCTCATGGTTTCCCTCCCGAGGTCCATCAGTAAAAAAAATTGAAGCGAGGGGGGTTCAAACCTTGGCAGTTTTCACACGCATTCAAACGGTGAACCACCTCAACCATTTGGTTAATGTTAATATTCTTTCAATTTGCAGTTTTATATCATACAATTATTGATATAACCCATAAAATTTTAAGTCCAATACCATCAACCACAATTATTGATATTAATTTGTAATCATAATAATAACTATTTTTTGTATTGCATGCCATTATTAAATGTTCATTACTTTTAACGATTATATTTATATTTTTTAGTATAAATATTACTTTGACAAATTATCCATTTAATTTCAAACACATCTTGAATTTATGAATTCTATTTTAGATAGTGATACATCAATTTTTAATTTAATCTATATAACCATTACTCCCTCCGTCCCAATTTGATTTGCAAAATTTCCATTTTTGGTTGTCCCAAAATGGTTTTTCACTTTCTATTTTAGGTATGTAAATAAGAATAAAGTGACAAATTTATCCTTACTTTTACTTTTTATCTATTAACTTAAAGACATCTACTTTTTGAAAGATGAGCAAAAGTGTAAAAAGCAAGCATCATTTATTGTGATTTCTTAATCCTTGTGCCGGTCGAAGTTTGCAATTCAATTTGGAACGAAGGGAGTATTAAATTTTGAATGGGAGTTATTTTTCGGCATAAACATTTAATCTAACATGATATATATATATATATATATATATATATATATATATATATATATATATATATATATATATATATATAGAATAACTTCTATATATTTTCAAATACACGTTGACTGGGTTGACCCATCGTTGACTTGGATGACCCTCCCGGGTCCGGTTTGACCCTTGACCCTTGACCCGGTGCCTGTCCGAGTCATCTCCCTTTCCGGTTTTAACAACATAGCTTAGTTGGGGCGTTTCCAATTCGGAACTGGAACGCTCTTCCCCAAAATCCAGCCACAAACACCCATTTGATATGCCTTTTTTTCAATTAATGGAATGATAAACGGACTAATTTTAAGTTTGAATACTCTTTTATTTCGTAAAATACGAAGTAATAATCTTATTTCTTATATTTTGTAATTCTTATATTATTCTTCTTTTTGGGTTTTAATTCCGATTTTGAATGCTTTAGTAAGTAGATAATTTGGATTGTTTGTAATAATTGAACTTGGTGAATTACTCTATTAATTTAGAGCCCGTTTGGTAGCACGAAAATCGGCTGTTTTGGTTGATTCTGCTGAAATTTATGAAGTTCTGACTGAAGTGGCTGCATTGGCTGATTCTGCTGATACAAGAAAAAAATATTTTTAAAATATATTTTATTAATAAAATAAAGAAAAAATTATATGTAAAAATAGCTAAAATGATCATCTACATTAACTTCAGCCAATACAGCCAGAAAAGTAACTTCAACCTTACTTTTTCGGCTTATTACACAATTCAGCGCGCGAAAGTAAAATTTACATGTTTGGTAAAAAAGTTGGCTGATAAGCCTGATAAGCCGAAAATGAGGGTTGCCAAACGGCCTCTTATAATTTAGTTTAACAAATAAATGAAGTGTATTTTGTTAAGGAACACTTTTATTTTATAGATTATGTTAGTCAGTTAGTGAATAACTTGTATTTTGATATAAATTGTTATTGTAGCAAATTATTACAAATATAAACGTCACTTATACTACGTATTATATTTAGGAAAAGGGGGGATATAAGCCCACGTACTAATAAAAAAAGATCAAATAAGCCCTTATATAAGAGGTTTTGTCCGGCCTTCGCCATTTGGCGTAGTTCCTGGTGGAATTTTTTGATGAAAGTTTTTGAGAATCTTATTCATTAAGTCTAGTTTACTCATACAAAATTTCAGCTAACAATTCAATAGGGAAGGCATTCAAATAAATTTTTCAAGATAACTGCGCTTTTAACTGCGCAGTTATCTTCAAGAATTAATTTGAATGTCTTCCTTATTGACGTTTTAGATGAAATTTGGTATGAGTAAACTAGACTTAATGAATAATATGCCCAAATAACGATGGCCGGACATACCCTCCTATATAAGGGCTTATTTGACCATTTTTTGTTAGTACGTGGCTTATTTGCCCCTTTTTCCAAATAGTTTTCCTTATATTTATACTCTACCTATTTTAGAAAACAAAGATCCACATTTTATTTGTACACAGGACCGGCCATGGGTGTAGTCTAAAGGTAGATTAAACGCAAATGAAAGAAGTACCGGGCTTTAGTTGCACGTAGATAGATAGATAGATTGATTAAACTTAATTGGAATTACCATCAATATACACTGCATAATATAATCGAACATATGTAAGATCATTAATTTATACTAGTGCTATTGTAGGCCGGTGTGACTGATTGAGTACAACAACATATACATACATAGATAATAGATATAATGATGTCAGTCAATTGGAGAGGTGGGTGGCGTCCGCAGTATGATCAACACCTTCGTCGGCGGTGGCGGTGGCGGCGGCGGTGCTTCGATAGAGCTGTCGCTTGGCATTGAGGAAGTCAGTGGCTTTGGCATCAATATCCGGGTCTGCCATCCAGTCGTAATAGTAATCGTCTTCCTCCCTCGCTCGCCGGGCCCTGTTCGCCTTACTCTGCCCTGTCACCTCCTCTCTTTGACTCGTTACCTTCTTCTTTCTCTTCCATTTCAGCAGCCCAAAGCAACAAAACCCAGACTTCTCTCCCATTCAATTCCGATCTACCTACCTAAAGTATATATCTCTGTCGATTGATCTGGGGTATGTTTTTTTCTTAAGGCCAGGAGGGCTTGGGGGATTGGGTACTACTTATAGTGGCGATCAAGGGCGGAGAATCTATACTGGTAGGGATTGGATTATACAACGCCGTTGATTTTGATTGATGGTGCAGATGCAATGCAAGAATTAATGGAATGGAATCTATGTAACTACGTCGCAAGCTAATTATTGATTAATTATTAATTAAGCGCGCTAGAGCGCTGCGTGCTGTAAAGTAGTGCATGTTGCACAAGTTAATTAATTTCTCCCTCCGTCCCTCGATACTTTGTCATGTTTGATCGTTACGAGAAATAAAAAAGTAAAAACTTTGTTATTGAGATATATGCAGAGGAGAGAGAAATGACACTATGACAGGAAGCACAAATTCATTCGTTAAAAGGGAAAGTGACAAAATTTCTGGGACATTCTAAAACGGAAAGATGACAAATTTATAAGGGACGAGTGGAGTATTAAAAAACAATCATTAAAATTAAGGAGTATACATTTTTTTTGAGAAAATAATTTTAAATAATCAACCCATTCTTTTAATAAAACTAAATAAGTCTTGCGGAATAAAATACACCTTACACATGGAGTACTTAGTTTTATTCTATGACTTTGATAGTGTATATAGGACTCGGACCCCCGGGTCTCACGACTATTGGGCCCGGACACCGGCCCACACACATCTTACGGATATCATTTGTATTATTGTACTGCTTATATGTCATTTGTATGTAACTATGTACTAGATTAGTCTTTTATGTAGTTGGGCTACCGGGCCCATATTAGCGGCCCGGCCCATTATTTCCCTATTTATACTCCTCTTGGAGCCATTTGTAACCCTAGAACATAAGTCTAAATTTCACAATTCATTCATACACCACTATCTTCTCCACATTCTTGAGCTCAAATCTCTCCATTTTAATATACTTGGATACCTATAATCCATCAATGGTGCTTTCATTGAGAGATTAGAGTAAAATCAAGTGAGGAATCCTCCCAAAACATACAAAAATTCGTCCAAAATACCAAAAACTATATCCAAAAACAAAGAAAACAGTCAAAAACAGTTCTGAAAATGTCAAGAACAACAAAAAAAATCTGAAAATCCCAACTTTGAGCCACTGTGGGTTGGGCGGTGAAGCTCGCTGCTTTAGCTGAAGTCTGCCGCACCATTGCAGCTCTCATCGCCGCCCCTGGTCCAGCACCACCGCCGCCCCTGGTCCAGCACCACCGCCGCCGCAGGTCATAGAGGCCATAGCAATGAAGTAAAAATCCATTGCCTAGAGAACCTGTGAGTCCGCCATCCACAGCCTGCGAAGTTGCAGAGCGAGCAAGACACCATTTCTCTCTTCAGCCGGAAGGACGATTCTCTTGAATGACGGTTTCTGCTTGCTCGTCCTCCTCGCCGGTCACCGGTCATAGCACCGCGAGAGGCTAGTTGCCGATCTCTCCTCTTTCTGTCCAGAGGGAAGGAACGATCTACCACCGTGCGTCATGGCTTCAGATCCCGTCATCCCCGGCCTACAGCTTACCCGCCATTGCGTCAGGATGTAGCCGTCGCACACCATCAAGCCGCAGCAGAGTGGAGTCCCTCTTTCTTCCAGACCTAGATGCTCCGAGCTGATGGCGGTTTCCTCTTCATTTACGGCGACATCAGGACGGCCCCCTGCCCAGCACTTCGCGCGCCATCAAGCCGCAGCAGAGCGGAGGTCTTTCTTCCAGACCTAGGTGCTGCAGGAAAGGGATATGGGCCACCAGAACGGTCAACAACCTTGTACAATTTAAAATGGGCCAAAGGAGTTCTGTTGGACGCTATTCATCTCAGCCAAGCCCATCAAAAATTCGGCCCAACTAAGAGCTAAGTGCCAATACTCCTATTATACACTTAAAATATTTATTAAATGATAGTAGTATACTTATTACTATTATTAATTATATTATTTCCACCACCATTATGGCGGGTTAAAAACCCCCGAGGTGGTGAAGACCATTATGAGGGATTAAAATTTCCCGAGGTCGCTAGTGATGTATTATTATTGGCGTTATTACTTTTATCACCGGCATTAAACCGGGTCAAAAACCCCCAAAGTGGTGGACCCGAGCTCTAGCCTACCGAACATCTTTATTTGATGATCTTAATTATATTTGGGTCCCTCGACCTACCCTAGTCACCTTTATTTGGTGACTCGGGCATCTAAAAATGAGAGCCGCTACCGGCCGCATACGGCATTATGCCTAAGAGCGGTAAACGGTACGCCTCGTTCTTCGAGACGCTAATCGTGTCGCCCAAAAGCTGTTGCCATGAACAACGCACCTATTGTATTCCGCTTATTTTTTGGAAATGTAATTAGAAGATACCACGTGTCGTGTCAGCAGCCTTCGAGCGAAAGGCTCAGGTATGCTCCACTTTGTATTTTGTATCAGCGAAGGGCTCAGGCCTAGCTGAGAGAGCACATCGTCCTGGCCCCGTAAGTCTAGAGTGAAACACTCAGGTATGGCCGACGATGTCCCCAGGACGAGGGGACCGCAAACGGCCCGCGTCTTGAAACGGGAAGCTCATCGCGCCGCCCACGCGCCAGATCGCAGGACGACAGGCCTGAAATCATGGCCGAGGTGACAAAATCCCAAAACTCAGGGATGGGCAATGACAGCCGTTGGAAACCAACCAAAAGTCTAGCCCGCGTCATAAATAGGCGACGGGACCCCCCTGAGATCACGAACGTTATAAACGAAGTCCGAACCGGCCGAAGGACGAGCACACCCTTCGGCCGAAGTCTGAAAGAAGGATACTCCCCGAAATAGGGAACGCAAACGGAAATAAAAAAAAAGAGAAAAGGAAAAAGAAAAAATAAAAGAGGGAAGCCGAGAACCGCGCGCACTCGCCGGCCTCGAGCAACAAAAAATGAAATCCCCACAACAATACTAAGTACATATCAGGCAAATACTACACATTATGGACGAAGCAAGACCATACATGCGGATTAGACGAGCGCCCAGCGCCGTTCCTCATCTTAGACGAGCGCCCAGCGCCGTCCTCCATTTGTAGACGAGCGCCCAACGCCGTCCCTCATTTTCAGACGAGCGCCCAGCGCCGTCCATCATCTCAGACGAGCGCCCAGCGCCGTCCATCATCTCAGACGAGCGCCCAGCGCCGTCCATCATCTCAGACGAGCGCCCAGCGCCGCCCCTCATCGTAGACGAGCGCCCAGCGCCGTCCTTCATTCTTAGACGAGCGCCCAGCGCCGTCCCTCATTTTCAGACGAGCGCCCAGCGCCGTTCATAATCTTAGACGAGCGCCCAGCGCCGTCCATCATCTTAGACGAGTGCTCAGCGCTGTCCTCCATTTGTAGACGAGCGCCCAGCGCCGTCCCTCATTTTCAGACGAGCGCCCAGCGCCGTCCATCATCTTAGACGAGCGCCCAGTGTCGTCCATCATCTTAGACGAGCGCCCAGCGCCGTCCTCCATTTGTAGACGAGCGCCCAGCGCCGTCCCTCATTTTCAGACGAGCGCCCAGCGCCGTCCATCATCTTAGACGAGCGCCCAACGTCGTCCATCATCTTAGATGAGCGCCCAGCGCCGTCCTCCATTTGTAGACGAGCGCCCCGCGCCGTCCCTCATTTTCAGACGAGCGCCCAGCGCCGTCCTTCATCCTTAGACGAGCGCCCAGCGCCGTCCTTCATCCTTAGACGAGCGCCCAGCGCCGTCCTTCATCTTTAGACGAGAGCCCAGCGCCGCCCCTCATCTTAGACGAGCGCCCAGCGCCGTCCTTCATTTTGAGACGAGCGCACAGCGCCGTCCATCATTTTCAGACGAGCGCCCAGCGCCGTCCATCATTTCAGACGAGCGCCCAGCGCCGTCCATCATCTCAGACGAGCGCCCAGCGCCGTCCATCATCTCAGACGAGCGCCCAGCGCCGCCCCTCATCTTAGACGAGCGCCCAGCGCCGTCCTTCATTCTTAGACGAGCGCCCAGCGCCGTCCTTCATTTTTTAGACGAGCGCTCAGCGCCGTCCCTCATGTTCAGACGAGCGCTCAGCGCCGTCCATCATCTCAGACGAGCGCCCAGCGCCGTCCATCATTTCTCAGACGAGCGCCCAGCGCCGTCCCTCATTATAAGACCGGCTCCTCATCGCCGTTGTCCTCACATCACGACCGACCCCTCGGCCTCGGCGTGATCATCTATCTCAAGACCGGCTTCCTCAGCGCCGCGAGTCTTGAGCCAGCGATCGGGCTCGCCATCCCTTCCCGGATGGTGACCATCGCCTTCATATGACGATCGGCTTCATCAGCGCTTCGTCATCATATTATAGGACCGGCTCCTCATCGCCGTTGTCCGCACATCACGACCGGCCCCTCGGCCTCGGCGTGATCATCTATCTCAAGACCGGCTTCCTCAACGCCGCGAGTCTTGAGCCAGCGATCGGGCTCGCCATCCCTTCCCGGATGGTGACCATCGCCTCTATATGACGATCGGCTTCACCATTTCCTCGTCATCATTATTTGGACCGACTCCTCATCGTCTTCGTCCTCATATCATGACCGACCCCCTCGGCCTCGGCGTGATTATCTATCTCAAGACCGGCTTCCTCAGCGCCGCGAGTCTTGAGCTAGCGATCGGGCTCGCCATCCCTTCCCGGATGGTGACCATCGCCTTTATATGACGATCAGCTTCATCATTGCCCCGTCATCATATTTCGGATTGGCTCTTTTCATCGCCATCCGCGCATCACGACCGGCCCCTCGGCCTCGGCGTGACTATCTATCTCAAGACCGGCTTCCTCAGCGCCGAGAGTCTTGAGCTAGCGATCGGGCTCACCATCCCTTCCCGGATGGTGACCATCGCCTTTATATGATGATCGGCTTCACCATCACCTCGTCGTCATTGTTTGAACCGACTCCTCATCGTCGTCATCCTCATATCACGACCGGCCCCTCGACCTCGGCGTGATTATCTATCTCAAGACCGGCTTCCTCAGCGCCGCGAGTCTTGAGCTAACGATCGGGCTCGCCATCCCTGCTGCTTGGACTTTTGGATCAGCCTCATAGTGCTGACGACCTCGCATCACGATCGGCCCCTCGGCCACGACGTCACACCCTATCCCAACACCGGCTTCATCAGCGCCGAGTGTGTTAGGCTAGCGATCAGGCTCGCCATCCCCTCCTGGATGGTGACTATCGCCTCTATATGACGATCGGCTCCATCATCGCCTCGTCATCATATTTCGGACTGGCTCCTCATCATTGTCATCCGCACATCGCGATCAGCCTCTCGGCCGCGACGTGATTATTTATCTCAAGACCGGCTCCCAGCGCCGAAGTCTTGTTATAGCGATTGGGCTCGCCATCCCCTCCTGGATGGTGACTATCGCCCCTATATGACGCACGGCTCATCATCGCCTCATCCTCACATTTAGACCGGCCCCAGCGCCGAAGTCCTTATCTAGCGACTAGGCTCGCCATTCCCTTCCCGGATGGTGACCGTCGCCTTCATATGACGCATGGCTTATCATCGCCTCGTCCCCATATTCAGACCGGCTCACCAGCGCCATCGTCCCCATATTCGGACCGGTTCGTCAGCGCTGTCATCCTCATATTCGGACCGACTCATCAGCGTCGTCGTCCTCATATTCAGACAGGCGTCCACCGCCTCGTCCCCCTATTCAGATATAGCGAACATCTTGCGGTCTCCGGCCGAAAGGCTAAAGGAGCCCAGAGTTCAGCCATACATCGCTCCGTCATCTTTATTTGATGACGCGAAGCTCATTTGCAGGCCCATCGGCCATATATCGCTCTGTCATCTTTATTTGATGATGAAGAGCTCATTTGTAGGCCCATCGGCCATATATTGCTCTGTCATCTTTATTTAATGACGGAGAGCTCATTTGCAGGCCCATCGGCCATATATCGCTCCGTCATCTTTATTTGATGACGCGAAGCTCATTTGCAGGCCCATCGGCCATATATCGCTTCGTCATCTTTATTTGATGACGCGAAGCTCATTTGCAGGCCCATCGGCCATATATCGCTCTGTCATCTTTATTTGATGATGAAGAGCTCATTTGTAGGCCCATCAGCCATATATCGCTCTGTCATCTTTATTTAATGACGAAGAGCTCATCTACAGGACCATCGGCCACATATCGTTCTATCATCTTTATTTGATGACGAGGAACTCATTTGTAGGCCTTTGAGCCACATCTTGCTCCGTCATCTTTATTTGATGACGCGAAGCTCAGTTGCAGACCCATCGGGCATATATCGCCTCGTCATCTTTATTTGATGACGCGAAGCTCATTTACAGGCCCATCGGCCATATCTCGCTCCGTCATCTTTATTTGATGACGTGGAGCTCTCATATAGGCCTCTCTCGGCCATACATCACCTCGTCGTCTTTATTTGACGACGTGGAGCTCTTATGCAGGCCCCTCGGCCGCACCATCGCCCTGTCGTCTTTATTTGACGACGTGGAGCTCTTATGCAGGCCCCTCGGCCGCACCATCAACCTGTCGTCTTTATTTGACGACGTGGAGCTCTTATGCAGGCCCCTCGGCCCCACCATCGCCCCGTCGTCTTTATTTGACGACGTGGAGCTCTTATGCAGGCCCCTCGGCCACACCATCGCCCCGTCGTCTTTATTTGACGACGTGGAGCTCTTATGCAGGCCCCTCGGCCGCACACATCGCCCAATCGTCTTTATTTGACGACGTGGAGCTCTCGTACAGGCCTCTCGGCCCATCGGCCTTACGTTCCGGTCATCTTTATTTGATGAACCAGACATCATATTGTGGACGGTCGCTCGACCCATCCCTTAGTCATCTTTATTTGATGACTAGGACTACTGATCACGATGAGCTACCCACATCTAGAGATCGGCCTCGACCATCCAGCAGACGGGCACCGCTGCAGCTCCATCTCCAGGCCGAAGGGCTCGCACCTTTTGTTTCATTTTGGGGGCATCCGGTGTACTCTTTTTCCCTCATTAGGATTTTTTCCCACAGGGTTTTTCCTAATGAGGTTTTTAACGAGGCATCTCCCCATCGTGGATCAAAAGGTGTCAACCCTCGGCCCCCTGTTGAAGACATCATCCGACACGCATTACTCTACTCCTCTTCACCTCATTACACTCGCCTCAAGGAGTGGGGGACTGGAAGAGCGGGGGACTTAGCGCCTCCGTTAACCAAAGAAGCAAAAATTCAAATTTTTGTTCACGAAGTTTACTCACCAGACGGCGACAGATCAGCACACAGTTCTACTCTCTTTCGCCTCGAATACTCTCGACTCAGAGAGTGGGGGACTCCTGATAGAGTATATAGACTCGGACTCCCGGGTCTCACGACTATTGGGCCCGGACAGCGGCCCACACACATCTTACGCATATCATTTGTATTATTGTACTGCTTATATGTCATTTGTATGTAACTATGTACTAGATTAGTCTTTTATGTAGTTGGGCTACCGGGCCCATATTAGTGGCCCGGCCCATTATTTCCCTATTTATACTCCTCTTGGAGCCATTTGTAACCCTAGAACATAAGTCTAAATTTCACAATTCATTCATACACCACTATCTTCTCCACATTCTTGAGCTCAAATCTCTCCATTTTAATATACTTGGATACCTATAATCCATCAGACTTCATAAGAACTACCAAGTATATGTTATGGTCCTATATTGAGCAATTTGTATAATACATAGTCATTTCATACTCTCAATGTTTAGATGTTTGTATTTGCTAAATTTAGGAGTAAAAATAGACAAAATTCAAAAATATGACTACATACATATGTTTTATTCCTCAAATATGACTTATTTAATTTTATTAAAAGAATATAGAACTTAGAATAAAACTTTTCGAAATAGAGGGGATTGAGTCACATTTTGATAATTTTTGTCTTTGTTCTAGTCTTATTATTAGTGGTATTTCTTAAAATATTTAAGCATGTGTTTGTTAATTAAGTATATGCTCTCTTGTAGAGACTCTGCTTCTGTGAATTGCAGAATTTGTTCATGCTCTCAAATGTTAATGCATATATATTTTGTAAATTACATTTTTATCGAGTGTGTGTACATGTTTTTGCCTAGCTTGTGAGGGACTTCTTCCCACATTTGACCAAACATTATCCTTAATTGCTGTTAATAATACGGAGTAGTTATTTCTATCTCCGTGTTCTTTGATACCAAATATTTTGGTCTTCGATACAAAATATTTTGGCGTATTGCCAGTTTTGTTAGTGGGACGAAACAAGAGAAGAATAGAACCTAACTTCACGAGGAACATATATACACGTACAGACAATGCGCATACCGCCGCGTTAACTGTGTATGAGTGTACAATAAAAAATTAAACCTTATTCCAAAACCAATAAAATGAAAAATAAAAATTCCACTTTCTTTATCTCTATTTTCTTTAGGATGTTGGTAGAAAACAAGATGAGAGAGAACATCAGCACTTCAGTACAGTAAAAATAACGTAGTCAATACATGGGACTGATGACTTATTTATAGGCATTCATCAATAATATGTGGGCTTGACCCAAATCAATAATATGTACCGAAACTAACGGGCCACCTCGTTAAAACCTAGTGAAGGAAAAAGAGTACATTGGTCCCTCAAAAAAAAAAGGAAGGCTAGTTCCCCGGGTCTTGATTGGCCATTCTGCTTTGATCTCGACGTTATGCAACGTCATCAGATTTATCAATTCGGACCCGCAATCTTGAAATTTGGGCTTTGATCTTCATATGCTTACAATAATTCCCGGATGGAAAAATCAAGCCTTCAGTTGCAATCCTTCTTGGGCTCCGAGACTTCCTAATCCAATTGGTCCAAGTTAATTCCTCCTTTCTCCTAATTAGAATCAGCCGCCTTATTTTTCTTTAAAAATGGGCCTTGGAGCACGTGATGCGTTCATAACATCCCCAAAAGGAGAAAATGACAACTCTCCAGCTATCGCACATATGCCCAGCTTTCGTCATTTTTCCAGCCAATGGCGTCGTCACTACCACCCAGCTCGAGTCCCAGAAGAAGACCCAACATCTCACCACCAGCCCGAGCCTCGAACAGGTCGCCTTCGTTGTCTCCTGAACTGCATCGCCGGAAAGTTTCGTGCGGACCTACCCTCATCTGCCTCATGACCAGAAAGCGTCAAGTTCGGCTATGCGCGACCGGAATGCCAGAACTTTGTCGTCCCCACCCGTCCGTCCTAGTCACGTGGATCCCATGCGTGATTGTACTCATGGAGGGCGGAATTTGGAGTTACCCGAGGCAGATCTTTATTTCTAAAAGCATCACCAATGCTATATTGGGTATGTTTGCCAAATGGCTTATCAGCCAGCTTTTAGCTTGTTTGACCCATTTCAACTGTTTGATTAGTCAAAGAAGCTAATAATAATGTTTGGTAAATGGCTTTTAAAATTAGCTTGTTGAGTTTGAAAAGCTGAAAAAATGGATTGTGGAAGAAGCTAAGGGGAGCAGCTTCTTCATTTGGCTGGTTCAATTTACACTCTATCAGTCATTTTGAAAGAGCCAATTTTACCAAACAGTTATTTATAATCAGCCAACATAACCAGTCGGTCAAAACAGCTAACACAACCAGCTGTTTCGAAACAGCTGACACAACCAGCTACCAACAACAGCTAACAATCATTTACCAAACAAGGCCATTGTTAACATGGTATAAATTTTGACAAATGGCAATTAATAAATGGAATAGTCATCCACCTCATTTTGAAATAATATAGGTGGACATTGAAATCCAAAAATGATGTCAAATGTGTGATGTCAAGAGCCCATATAACCACCAACGTGTAACCCACACGTTTTCAAATTAAAATACATCATATTTAATCATATTACTCCTGCACCCCAAAAGTCATAAAAATCCGCCCGCAAAGTTTTTACTTTTAACCGATCAAAAGCAACAAAAGCTCTGCATAATTTCTGAATCAAACAAGTTCTGGGTCTTCAAATAATTTAATTCGTAGAGGTAATCCATTATCCGACAAGTCTATATATGTGTGGATTGTTATTAACAAAAGAGGATTCATCTCATCTTGGAAAAATCTAGAAAAAAGAAAATTGTAATTGGTGACGAAAGAGGAGCAAATAGTGCATGAACTTCTATACGTAGTGCGAAAGAGGAGCAAATAGTGCATTTCTACTCCACGTTTGGTGAGTCACGGTGTGAACGGTGTTGTTATCTGAAGATAGGAATGTAAACAGTTTCGAAATTAAATTTTTACAGGTCAGCATTACATGAGAGTGAACAGGGTGGGTTGGAGACGAACATTTTGACGTGGTGTTAAATAGGGTTGACGTAACATGTTTTTTTAATGTGAACGGTGTGTGATTGAAGATGCTCTAAGAGACATCTACGTCTTGCTCCGGATGGTTTCCGTGATCGCCCTGTATAACCGCCCATTCTTACCCCCATAGATGAGATTTCTCAATCGGATGAAGATAATGCGTCCAGGTGGCCAACGGATCGACAGAGTCAGATAGTGTCGGGGACCCGAACTACTCGAAGGTTCGACATGTTGACACGTTGGGACGTCTACACCCTACCTGTACGGCAGAAGATTTGAAGTTGGTGGAGCGTTTAAACAGCTATGACTGCACCCCGGTGCTCCCTGAACGCAGTAGCAACCTCACCAATCCTCTTTCAAACGTGTTTTTTGGAGCTCATATTGCATCCGTAGAGCAGGGAATGCAAATCTTGTTGTGTCCTTTCATGGTATAGCTCCTTAGATTTCTCAAGATAACGCCGAGCCAGATGACTCCTGTTGCCCACACGTTCATAGCTGCTTTCGTATCCCGCTGTGAGAGGACGTTCATCCAGCCGTCTTTGCCTCTGTTCTGCTACTGTTTTCGTTGGAGGCGCTCCAATCTCGATCTAGATTATGGCGGGTTTTTGTTGTTCTACCAAGCACTACCCTGCAAGTTGTTCGGTCACCGACCTGGGGCACTTGGATACGCAAGTATGAACCCGTCTCAATAACTCCTGATCTCCGGAGAGAGAGATACTCTGTTTCAGGGGAGTCCCTTCCCGATCACTTCATATCTGGGTAAGTTCCGTGCTCGGAAAATGTCCTCCCATTACTTGGTAATATTCCTCCTTGTTCACTGCTATTTATTATTTATTAGAGATATGACAGGTAAGAGAGGCGCCTTTGCTGCTTTAGCTGCAATGCAAGATGCTAAATCTAGGCCTTCATAATCTGACGCTAGTCCATCTCATGCAGGGGAAAAGCACAAACCTTCTCTGTCTGGTGCTACAGAAAAGCGTGCGGCTTCCCCGTCTCGTGAAGAGAAACTTGATAGGAAGAGCAAAGGTATGAACTGTTCCTTAGGCTGGGTTAGGGGAGACAACCCGACCAATAAGCTCACTCTGCTTGTTTTCTTGTAGGTACAGTAGGTCAGATAAGCGCACTTGTTGCGTTGGCCGTGACGAAAGATGCGGAATCTCGTCCTCCAATATTTCTCTCAAGTCTTTATGGTGCTAAGAAGAAGCGCATGTCTTCCCCTTCTCGTGAGGAGCCATTTGCTAAGAGAGGCAAGGATATAATCTGCTTCCTGGGATAGTTAAGGGAAATAACCCTACTCGTAGGGTCTCAATTCACCTCTTTCGTTTCTTTGCAGTTATGCCAGGTTGGAGAAGCGCACTTGTTTCCTTGGCCGCGATGAGAGATGCTAAACCCTATCTCCCGACATCTGATCCAGGTCCATCCAGAAGTAAGGGGAAATACGGGTTTCGTCTCTCATATGTAGTGTTTTTATGTTTAAGATAAGTGGATTAATAGTTGAGTGAAAGAATTTTATCTCTTATATGTAGTGGTTTTAGACATAAGAGAAATGGACTAATAAGTGAGCAAAAAATCTTTTTCTCTCATATGTAGTGTTTTTTGGTATAAGATAAGCGGACTTTTAATTGAGCGGGGGAATTTCTTCTCTCCTCTGTAATGTTTTTTAGTATAAGATGAGCGGACTAATAATTGAGTGGGAGAATTTTATCTTTCACACGTAGTGCTTTTAGGTATATAAGAAGATAAGCGGGCTAATAGTTGAGCGGAAGAATTTTCTCTCTTATATGTACTTATGTAGTGCTTTTAAGTACAAGATAAGCAGAATAATAATTGCGCTGGAGAATTTTCTATCAAATATGTAAGTTTTTTTGGTATACGATAAGTGCACTAATAAATGAATATGAGAATTTCTCTCTCTCATATTTAGTGCTTTAATTATAAGATGAAGGTTAATAATTGAGTGGGAGAATTTTCTCTCTCAAACGTAGTGCTTTTAGGTGTAAGAAGATGAGCGGACTAATAGTTTAGCGGAAGAATTTTCTCTCAAAAATGTAGTGCTTTTATGTACGTAGTATAAGATAGACTAAAGGGTCAAATAGGTACATAAACTAACTTAAAGTGTTCAATTAGACCCTTATATAGAAGGTTCTTCCCGGCCGTCACCAATTAGGGAAGTTCCCGGTGGAATTTTTGATAAAATTTTTTCAGCATGTTCTTCATTAAGTCTAATTTACCCATACGAAATTTCAGCTAAAAATTAAATCAGGAAGGCAGTCAAATGATTTTCCGAAATGTACTGCGCTATTTAACTGCACAGTTATTTAAAAAAAATCATTTCACTGCCTTCCCAGTTGAATTTTTAGCTGAAATTTGGTATGGGGAAACTAGACTTATTGAAGAAGATGCTCAAAAAATTTCATCAAACAATTTTACCAGAAACCGCCCCAATTGACGACGTCCGTGCAGAACCTCCTATATAAGGGTCTAATTGAACACTTTAAATTAGTTCATGTACCTATTTGACCCTTTAGCCTATCTTATACTACGTACATAAAAGCTGACTAATAATTGAGCGAGAGAATTTCCTCTCTCATATTTCAGACACATGCTCGACGCTCCTGCCTGGTGAGAACAGTACAAACAATCTTAAGGGTGATTATTCGAATTCACCTCCTGGGGGAATACAGATGGAGACAGATTTAACCACCGGCCCAGACAGTGAAAAATTCTCTTTCTTTGGAGAGGAAGGGTTTGACTCGGTCAAGATTGAATCAAAATTGTTCAAATTTGCACTAAGACATAGTGACGTAGTTCTTCTCGAAATATAAAAAATTGTCTTGCACAAGATTTGTTTCAAGGTTGATCTTGCTCCTCAAATCATCCGGTTCATCTCCCAGCTCAAAAACTCTAATCAATCAAACTTTACACAGATAAGGCAATTTGGAGATATCAAGGTTTCTTTGGATATTACCAGATCAAGTTATTTCGTTAAAATTGCCAAAGACAAGGGGACCTCCCCGTTCATATTCCCATGAGCAAAAATAAATCTGGTATGACAAAATTCCTCACAATTTTTTCTAATTTTGTAGGGCTACATAGGTTTGTGCAGGAGGACTTGATCTTTCTTCAACATAGGAGCACTTTAGAGACCGATGATATATCCATCTCTAAACTGATTCTTAATTGTCAAGTCCAGGCATTGAGTATTGAGAATAAAAAAGTATACAGTCCAGTGATACAACCCAACCTTCCACCGATCCAAGCCTACTCGGACGCTTCTGACAGCTTTTATCATAGTGAGGAATCTTTCTTCTCAGACGAATTTTTAGGTCATGGAACCGAAAGCGATCATCGTCCTCCTATATCTAATCAGGAAGAAATAAGGAACTCCAAATTCAACAGAACAATTTGCTGTAAATCTGTGCTAGTTACTCCGGAAAATTGTCTGCGAACGGACAATTTAAACACGCAACTCAAATTTTATAGGAAATCTCGGAAGAATAAAAGGCACCACAAAATGAGGATTAGGTCACAGTCCACAAATTTCCCTTGAGTTTAGCTTGTTTCTTTTTCTTTTCTTTTATTTTAATTTGATTGTATTGTCTTCTTTCTATTTTCTTTCTTGCATTGTATTGTCGTTTACTTTTATCAATAAAATACATTTTCCTTGAAAAAAAAGGTAGTTGAAAAAAAAGATAAGAAGATAAGAAGATAAGACAAGCGGAATAATAGTTGAGCGGAGCAATTTTTCCTCTCATACGTAATGCATTTAGGTATAAAAAGATAAGAGAACTAAGTATTTTCCTACAAAGCACAAAGAGGATTTTACTTTAATTTTCTTTTACTTTAATCATATGGTGAATATATATAGAGAGACCAACTATTTTTCCCCGTGCGTATGCGCGGCTAGTGTGCTAGCCATTGAAGTTAAAAATTAAAAGCAAAAACTAACTTAATAGAATGGGAATAAGATTTGTGTAATTAGAAAAATGAAATTAATGTAAAGATTTGTAAAACATGCATAACAAGGCTAATGAAATTTAATAACCGAAAGTGGGAAAAAGTTACAAAAAAGACTATCGCCGAAGACAAATTTTTACAAAAAAACTCTTCTGGTAGGATAGAAAATGAAATACAGTACCTCCGTCCCAATTTACTTAGTCATCTTTGACTTTTTTAAGTCAGTGATAAACTGTGACCAATTATTTAAACTAATATATTTATGCAAAATTTTATACTTTTATGATAATATTTTTAACAAAGAACATTTTCATTTCATTTTTATATTATTAATACTTTCTCTATATAAACATATAATTGGTCAAAGTTAGAAATCACGGACTTGAAACGTCAAATTTGGCTAACTAAAGTGGGACGGAGGGAGTATGATATTGAATAGAAATAAAAATGATAAGAAGACAAAAGGGAAAGAAAGTGTGTCTAAAAGATAAAAAAACAAAGAACACTTCCAGGGAGAAAAGGAGGGGGAAAGTAATACTAGTATATGGAAGAGATTGTTTTGAAAATATTAATGTAAGTTGAGATCTTTTATTTTAGGGCTGGGCGTGGTCCGGAACGGTCCGGTAATTGGTAAAACTCGTAATGTATCCGTGAGGTTTTTAACGGTCCGGTACGGTCCGGTTTCAAGGATAGAACTGTTCGGTACCATGTCATTTCGGAACGTGATAATCGTGTAATTTCCATGTTTATGTTTGTGTTTTTAACTAGTTTTGATTGATTGTTACTTTGGAAATTACACATTTGTGGTGTAATAGTTTAGTTTGTAAAATATTTGTAATTTGTTTAGATTAGGTTTATTCTGAGCTGGAACATGCCCAAGATCACTCTAGGGACCATTGGTGAACATCAAAAGTGGAAAGAAGGTGCAAAATCTCAAGACAACAATAAAGATCTTGAATTTTTGTGTTGTACCCGGTCGGGTATGACGTATACCCGATCGGGTACCCTGCTGAAAAATCAAATCAGATCAATCCGGGAACAAAGCAACATGCGGGGAAGATTTTGGCCATGTTCAAGTGTCATACCCGATCGGGTAGCCGACACACCCGGTCGGGTATGCATGACGTTTTTAGCTTCCGGGAAGCTTCTGAGTGTACCCGATTGAGAGCCTTCGATACCCGATCGGGTACACACCCCTCCATACTCCATTTCCCTATAAATACACCCCTTTCCTTCCCACAAAACATCATCCCTTCTTCCATACTCTTAAGCCCAGTTTAGAATAGCATTTCTTTATATTTTTCTAGCTATGTTTAGTCTCCAAATGAGGAGCTAAACTTCCAATTCTTGGTGTTGCTCTTGAAGCTTGTTGATTATTAAAGTTGTGAGTTATTTTCTTAACTTCTTTCCTTGAATATTAATTAATAGTTCTTTCCTTAATACTATCTCTATATTAATGTTGGGGAGTGTTGCTAAGATGACAATTAGTTAACATCTCGACATTAGTTAGAATAGTATTTTTTTCCTCTATATTAATGTTGGGGAGTGTTGCTAAGATGACAATTAGTTAATATTCTTCCTTGAATATTAATTAATTCCTATTCATATTTTATATTAATATTTTGAACATTACTTAAAGGATCAACTAGTTTTGTTTCATATATTAATTATTACTAGAAACGATCGACGAACCGATGGTTAATCGTTGATGGTTTCACAAGTAAGTAACTTCGGTTTATTAATGCACGGTCGTGGTTGATAAACTTAAGAGGGATTATTTTTGTTGGTTAAACCGAAACCGTTGTGTTGAGGTTATCTATCTCAATTGATTTCATCAAGGAGTTAAAAGATTAAAAGCTACTATCAAGTCGGTATATGGCGGTGTTCTATACTTGACTAATAGTAAGGGTTATTAATGAACGGTCGTTGTTAATAACTACCCTCGATGAATTGGATATACTCCTTGATTGAGTATTCGAGAGGGAATAAGTTATAGATATAACAATGATCGACTAAAATATATCAACAAGTGGAAAGTAGCAATGCCAAGTTCTTTTCATCTTTGAATTAAATCTCATATAAGTCGTTCATCTTAATTTTTAATTTAATTAAATCATTCATCACCGAAACCCCCCTTTTATTTACTAAGTTCATAAAAAGAAAAGTATTCCTTTCCCTGTGGATACGAACTCTACTACACTATACTACGTATTAGTGCTAGTATTGAATTTATTTTGACGCACCGTGACAAAGTGCTCATCAAATTTATTTTGACGCACCGTGACAAAGTATGTTGGGTTTCGTGACAAAGTGCTCGTCAAATACTCGTCGCAAGGGAGGGGAAAGTATTTGATGGGTTCGGGGTACTTCATGTGCCATTTGTAATGTTGGGTTCCATTGTGGTTCTGGTTTCCCAAAGAGATTAAGCCCGCATTGGATAACCAACCAATGTGCATCA